TTAAGTGGTTGATGTTCACCCCTTTGGGGATGTTCTATTTTTTTAATAGGGAGATTATACTCGTCTCTTAAGATGGGATGTGCACCCACTTGGGGTTGAAAGGTAAGGGTGATGCCAACCTTGGGATGGGATAGCCCCCCACTTTAGGATGAGGCGCTCGAGACCTATGGTCTGAGGTGGATGCGCACGGTTGTGCCATTGCTTCAGTGGCAACACGAGTTGAAACTTTCGCGGTCGTACGCTGAAGGTCCTTATCGGTTATCTGAACCGTTAGAGGAGCAAGTAGAAGTTGATCTTGTTGAAGGTTCGGCGATCATACGTTGAAGGTCCTCTTCGGTTATCTGAACCGTTCGAGGGGGTACGGAAGTAGGCCCCCATAGAGTCGATGACCCATGGCGAACGAAATGTTTTGGGGGCACTGTAAACCCCCAGGGAGTCGATAACCCTTGGCGAACGAAATATTTTGGGGGCAGATGTAAGCCCCCAGGGAGTCGATAACCCTTGGCGAACAAAATATTTTGGGGGCAGATGTAAGCCCCCAGGGAGTCGATTACCCTTGGCGAACGAAATATTTTGGGGGCACATGTAAGCCCCCAGGGAGTCGATAACCCTTGGCAAACGAAATATTTTGGGGGCAGATGTAAGCCCCCAGGGAGTCGATAACCCTTGGCGAGCGAAATGTTTTTGGGGCACTGTATGCCCCCAGGGAGTCGATAACCCTTGGCGAACGAAATATTTTGGGGGCAGATGTAAGCCCCCAGGGAGTTGATAACCCTTGGCGAGCGAAATGTTTTGGGGGCACTGTATGCCCCCAGGGAGTCGATAACCCTTGGCGAGCGAAATATTTTGGGGGCAGAGGTAAGCTCCCAGGGAGTCGATAACCCTTACTAGCGTTGAAGGGCCTCCTCGGTTGTGTGAACCGATCGAGGGGCGGGAAGAAGTGAATCCTATTGAGGATCTAGTGGGACATCCGAGGAAGGCCTCGTAGTGGATCCCGAGCATGGGGGGAGGATGTGACAAGCCAGAGCCTCCAAGAGGTGGGAGGTTGTTAGCAGTGTCACACTCCCCTGAGCAGATGTCTCAAGGCCATCATGTGCGCTACGTGATTGTGTTTGCCTTCCCACAGACGGCGCCAAAATGATGATGCTAAAGTTAGATCACCTTAGAGAGTTGAATTATGAAGAGCTGGAAGAGCATAGTGGATCACTGGCTCACGAGCTTGATGACCTTGAGATACCTGCGATCATAGAACACGTAAGCTAAGCCGGGGGTTGATCCGGCGGAAACCCCTCCGACGCTCAAGTCAGACGTGCTGATCATAGAAATAGTCCAGAGAATACAGGTAATAGTATTGCTCAGTTAATAGGACGTACCTTAAGGAATGAGTTCAAACCTTTATTTATAGCTTAGTTGAGATTGTCGGGCCCAAACCTTACTTGAAGGTGATTGGGCTTCAGTGATAATGGTTTTCGATATTGGGCTCGTGGCCCAATAGGTAAAGAATTTGTAGGCCCATTAGGTTGGCCCAATTAGGCATATCATATATATATATATATATATATATATATATATATATATATATATATATATATATATATATATATATCAATTAAGTAATGAAATTGATATACCAAATTTAAAATTAATTATGTATACTTATTAATTAGTATTAAATGTCAATAGTATATTAACTAAAATAAAATTCAGAATAATTTTCAGAAATAAAAAAGATTAAAGATTCAAAATAATAATATATTGTTTAGAATAATACATGTTCAGAGAATTTTCTGTGTTATTCAATTCTACGACTTGTACATATATAAGGTTACCCAAACTCTATAGCTACAACTCTTACCAATGAGAAAAGATACTTATTATCAAAGTAAACTACTCAGAATATATATCTCCTATCTTATATAAGCATATCTTATATACGCATATACCAAATATATCCAAATCCCAATACTCATCCTCAAGTTGGCGCATGAAGATTGTGAATGCCCGACTTGCGAATAAACTGTTCTAACTGTTGTTTCCTATGTCCTTTTGTCAAAATATCGGCCAATTGTTCTGAAGTACACGCACGTGAGAAGTGGACATGTTCCCTTGTAGTATCTCTTTCCGAACAAAGTGACAGTCAATCTCAATATGCTTTGTTTGTTTATGGAAATCGGGATTGGCTGCAATATGTAAGGCCGCCTGACTATCACAATACAAGCGGATTGGGTCTTGATGAGACACACCAAGACAATGCAAAAGTCCCTTCAACCATTTTAATTCGCAACACGTAGTGGCCATCGAGCGATACTCAACTTCACCAAACGAGTGGGATAGGGTGTGTTGTTTCTTTTTTTTCCACGCAATAGGCAACTGCCCCAAAAACACAAAATAACCCGTTAATGATCGACGAGTAATTGGGCAGCTCGCCCAATCTGAGTCAAAATAAGCATGTAAATGCAAGTCATTGTCCGACCTTAACAAAATAACTTGACCCGGAAATCCCTTAAAATACCGAACTACACGCAAGGCTGCCTCCCAATGATCCTCTCGCGGTTGTTGCATAAACTGAACCAACACATGCACACAGCAGCTGAGCTCAGGTCGTGTGATTGTCAAATAAATCAAACGTCCTACCAGCCGTCGATATCGTTCTGGGTCATCAATGAGCGGCTTGTCAGACAATTAGGAAAGACGATGATTTGTTTCAATTGGAACGCTTGATGGTTTAACTCCAAGCAGCCCCGTTTCGGCCACAATCTCGAGCGCATATTTCCGTTGGCACAAACTAATGCCTTCAATCCTACCACTCACTTCTATGCCAAGAAAGTATTTGAGTTTACCAAGATCTTTCATATGAAAACAACGTCCAAGATACTTCTTGAGCTAGGCGATTGTCTGAGAGTCATTTCCACCAATAACCAAATCGTCAACGTAAACAAGTACACTCAAAAAAATCGAACTTTTAGTGTAAACAAAAAGTGAATAATCAGAGTATGATTGATCAAACCCATATCGTTTCAAAGACGTTGCCAGTTTGTCGAACCATGCATAAGTCATTGACCAACTATCTTTATTACTTTAAATTCAGGGGTTATATCTCTTTTGCCAATAAGTTCATTCCTTTAATATGTATTATAAAAAAATAAAATTATTGTATAATACAAAATTACCGCCAAACCTCTAAACCCAATTCATAATTGTAACCCCAATTTAATTCTAATTTCATCAATTTTGACCACAATACCTTTTCTTCTTTTTAAACTTTGTTTTCTGTTTTTTTTTTTTTTTGCCACCGATTTTCGGCATAGACTTTTTTAATTTTTTTTTTGACGGCTTTTTCCGCCGCTGGTTTCCGGCGTTGATTTTGTTTGAATTTCCCTAAATGTTTTATCCATTTTTTTTACGCCCGCCGTTGATCGTTGACCGTAATTGTACTAACAGTAATTATATTGTCGTTGGCAGTACATTTACGTAATTGTACTGTCATTGGCAGTTCAATTACTGTCAACCACATCAATATTATTGTTTTTTTTTTGTTTTTTTTTTTGTTCTATTTGTTGACAAGTAAACGTAATAATATTACTGTCGTTAACGGTAAAATTACTGTAAACACAATAATATAACTTTCAACCACATCAATATTATTATTTTTTTTTTGGCTTTTTTGTTTTGATGGATTTGTTGACTGATTAATGTAATAATATTACTGTTTACTATTGTAATATTACTGTAAACACAATAATATCACTGTGGTTGACGGTAATATTATTGTCTCGTTATAGTAATATTACTGTCAACCACATTGATATTAACTCTTTTGACTTTTTATTATGTTTGTATTTGTTAAATGGTCAATATATTAATATTACTCTATTACACAATATTGATTTTTTTTTGTTAATATTATTGTGCTAGAAAGTAATATAGTTAATATTAATTTTTTAAACAGTAATATAGTTAATTTAAGTGTCAATCATAACAATATTGTTGATTAAATGGGCAAAAAATGTTGAAGAAATAGAAAGTTTTCCGAAGAAAAAAAATCGAATAATTGGATTTTGGGTCAATGCTTATTAATAGACATCCATTAACGTAAATAGTTATTCAATGTATTTACAACAAAATTTTATTTATGACTTTTGAGAATCTACACCCGATGAAATACACCATGTGATTTTAAACCGTAAATTTATATAAATAATTACCCACACATACACATGGGTGTGTGTTATTATGTGTAGATCTATGGTTTAAATGCACATGGCGTATTTCGCCAGGTGTAGGTTGTACAAAGTCATGAGGGACCTCCTTATAAAAAGCCCTATTACTCCCTATGTCCTATATTATTTGTTTTTTTAGAGAGTGTTTTTTTTTTTCTTGTCTCTAATTATTTGTCATTTTGGTTTTTTAATGAAATATTAATTGCATTATTTTCAATTTTACCCTTTATCATTCATAGTTAATTAGTTGTAACTAATGTCAAAAGTATTTTAGTGATTTTCTATGTTTTTTACTATAATCTATTGAAATTAATTTATTTTCTTAATATGTGCGCAACAATCCAAAATGTCATTAAATTGGGACGAAAGGAGTATTATTATTTATTTTCTATTTCATGTATCGATATTCATGTTTTATATGGATGATGATTGAGAATTGATACTTAGCTAGGAAGTTTTGTAGCTTTAGTCTTGATATCTAAAAAGAAAGCCAAAAAATAAAAAATAAAAACGAAGAGGAAGAAGAGAGAGAAAGCAAAAAAGTTTAATTTTCTTTAATAATTGAACATAGGGTGAGAAAATTAAAAATAGAATAAAAGGAAGACCATAAGTCAGCAAAGAATGGGAAAATGGAAAAGACCATAAATATATTCAAAGACTTTTTATCTGCTCAAATTAAAGCCTTTGATTACTTACTAGTGGGGTTGTAGTACGGAATATCAATTCTTGTTTCTTCTTTTCTACACACATTAAGTATTAAGTGTTTTACTTCCACTGAAAGACTCTTCATTTTTCATTCATGCAACAGTTCTATGCTCATATTTACTTTTGCAGGGTTTTTGAGTTGAAATTAGCAAGGATATTTCAAGAGATTGGCTGACGTGGCAGTTTAGAGAGAGAGAGAGAGAGAGAGGGAGAGAGAGAGAGAGTTTTTGAAGTTGGTTTGATCAGAAGTGAAAATGGATTGGAATCGTTCGGCCGGAACCAGCAATCGATCGTCGCCGAAAGACGAGTTCACTGATTTGGTGCTTTCATGGTCTCTTCAAGACATCTGTAATGATAATCTCTACAAAGACCAGGTTCTTTTCCTATATATATATATATATATATATATATATATATATATATATATATATATATATATTTTGCATATTTGATTATTTCTATGCTACACCTGGTGAAGGTTATACATATCAGGTGTATATTTACCGTTGATCTACACATACTGATGTGTATGTGTGTGTCTTTGTGTGCATTAGTGCATATGAATGATAAAAATCTACTTGTGCATGTTGTATCCATATATATGTCATCAAATGTAGATCGGAATTAAATTGCATTTACGCTTTGCAATGCACTTTTTTGTTAAAAACAACGCCGTATTGTGATTTTTTGTTTCGAAATAAAATCAAAATTCTTAGTAAGTTAGTATTCATCGGCGCACAACGTACGTCTTTATAGGTTTGTAATAATGGGGAAATTAGTTGTTATATCTGGTTATTCACACTAGGTGGATCTGAACCGTAGATGTATATATAATTATACACTCATGTGCATGTGTGTTTAGTAAATAGTTATTTAATTAAATATACGGTTCAAATTTACCCGGTACAAATAAATAATCAAATGTAACATCTAACTGATTTATGATGAAAGTTGTTTAATTGGGTTCTTTAATATTATAGTTTTTTGCAAATGGTCCTTTAATATGGTTTCTTTCATAATCATTGTTGTTTGGCTTCTTTTGGTTTTATTATAATTTAATCATTAAAATAATCACAATTATATTCGTTCAGACTTTTGGATAGTACACTACTGGTTATAGTCAAAAGTTGGAATTAAAAATATTGTTTTTATCTCATTATTTTTTTATGGATTACAGCTAATTATTTGTAAAATTCATGGATTTAATCTAAAATGACGGACTAATTTTTTTAAGAAAATGAATAGGAAAAGTCGAAAAGATGACAGGACCGGTTCTGACTATAGGCGAGAGAGGTTGTCGCCTCGGGTCCCGATTTTTAGAAAAAATCAGGGGCCCACAAATAATATTTTGTATCATTTATAGATACTAGCATTAAATGATATTTGATATAAAATAGTTTGAAATTTTGAATTATTATTTTACATAGTTTAAGTATTTGTTGGAAATGTTTACACTTATTCTTGCATTTGATGTGATTGAAATGTCTTACATGAATTATAATTAGTTAGATATTAATTCTTCAATCAAATTTTTATCTATTTCAAGATTTTAAACTTTTTTTTTCCAACAATCTTTGCATTTTTTAATAATTCACATTGTTCATCGCTAACTTCAAAGAGTTACAACAAGTTGAAATATACTATATTTAAATTTTACTACATTAAAACAAATGTTACATATATTTACTTCTTCAATAAATATTTCTATGACTAATTAAAGAAAAACTTAAAGACTCTGCCCCCAACCATGTAACTTTTGATTTACCTTCACTTCATCAATATTTTACCATGCTCGTTAAAATGAATTAATGCGTAAATTATACAATACAAATATGGCTCAATTTCTATGATAAATGTAGGTGGAGAAGATTCCAAAGTCATTTGAATCCGTTGATACGTATCTTGGTTCGTACATCTTTCCTTTACTAGAAGAAACACGTGCCGAACTTCGTTCCGCCACCGAAACTGTATGTAATGCACCTTCTGCTGAGGTGGCATCTTTTACGGAGCGAACACACGGGAAATTCGTGTACAATGTTAAGGTTGGTCAATGGAGAAATGTTGCCAGTGGTTCTGGTAGTGAGCGGCACAGAATCTTGCCGGGTGATGTTGTTCTTCTTTCGGATTCGAACCCCGAAGCTAATTCCCGCTCACAACTTATCGGCGGGACGTATATTTTTGCATGTATAAATAATATCAAGAACGATGATAGTTTTGTACTCAAAACCGCCGAGCAGATTGAAACCGAGGATGTTAAAAAAAGGCCGCGCTATGTGATTCACTTGATGAACATAATTCCACATAAAAGAATATGGAAAGCGTTACGTATGCGTTGGAATTTGAACCTTGTCGAGAAATCAATCACCGCGAATGACTTGGTAAAGACTACTGTATTACTCGTTTTTTTTTTCAAAATCGTGCATGAATTGATTGTTGGAAATTTTTGAGTGTTAGACTAATTTTGGTTAATTATTTAAGTGGATTAAATTTAGTTTCCAAAATTAATTTTAATGAATGAGAAATTAATAAAATCCCTTAATATAATATATTGAAAATGAAGAAGTGAAATGCCACCATTGGAAAATTTGGAGGGTTTAATCACCTATTAAATGGAATAGGTGTCTAATTAATGAGAAAAGGTGTGATAATTTTTCATGAATTTAGTTTTCTAAGAGCTGCGAGTTGTGGTCATAACCTTTGAAAATCTATAAATAGATTTGTCCACCATTTGTATAATTCATTTTTCACATGGAATTCAATTCATAAATTGAATTCACTTCTCATCATAGCATCTCATTGCATATTATTGCATTTATCAAGTCCATTTCTTATAAAGTCCAAAGCTCTCGTTTTGTTCGCCTGTACTTCGAGCCTTGTTATGCTGCAAACTCTAATACCCACAAGTCGTTGTATCTTGGGAACAATTGGCTAGAACCGTTAGCACTACTACGAGTCAATAATGTCTTATGGAGAAAGAATTTAATTCTTGTCTCGACTTCTTTTTCCGTTTATTGTCCAATTGCATTTCGAAATATGCCTCACATAGTGTATATATTTACCAATTAAACAGGGAGTGGAAATGTGTGAAGTTTGCCCTTTCCAATACAATGTTGAGATGGAGGAGAAACTGCGATCGAGTTTATCGTCCAAGTTAAATGAATCGCAACTCGACGCGATTTCGGCATGTCTATCCAAATCCGAGTGCAGCCACACGTCATCAGTCGAACTCATATGGGGTCCACCCGGAACTGGAAAAACATCAACCTTAAGCAACTTGCTTCATCTTCTCCTGAAAAAGAACGTTCGGACACTCGTTTGTGCACCGACAAACGTCGCAGTTAAAGAACTCGCCTCTCGTGTGGTAGCACTAGTAAGAAACTCTGTTTTAACCGAGTCTCGAGGCAACCTATTGCCTTGTCCTTTAGGAGACATGTTCATATTTGGAAACAACGATCGTCTTAAAGTTGGCGCCGACATCGAAGAAATCTATTTGGATTATCGTGTTAAGAAGCTTGTACATTGCTTATCGACAATAACCGGTTGGAAGCACTGCGTTGCATCGATGCTCGATTTTCTTGAAGACTGTGTTTCTCATCATCAAATCTTTGTGGAGAATAATAATGGGCTAATCAAATCACTTTTGGAGTTTGCTAGGGATCGATTCGCAAATTTAGCACCACCGCTGAGAGATTGCATGTCGACGCTAATCACTCATTTACCAACAAGTTTCGTTCGCGAGCAGATGTTTCGAAGCATAATGCAACTAATGTCTCTTCTCGATTCGATTGAGACGTTGTTGTTTGACGACAAGAGCAGCTTGACATCTGAAGAACTAGAGAGAATCTTTTTACAAGACGGAACTAATTGTGTTGATACATCGTCCATAATATATATCAGAAGCCAATGTCTGAATGTTCTGAGATCCGTTAGGGCTTCTCTAGATAAACTCGGACTGCCAAATGGCGTTGGAATAACCTCCACATCCGCAGATTTTTGTTTCGGAAATGCTACTTTAATTTTTTGCACCACTTCAACTGCATATACGCTGCACAAATGTAAAACGGAACTTTTCAAAATGTTGGTGATCGACGAAGCTGCTCAAGTGAAGGAATGTGAATCGAACATAGCACTTCAGATCCCGGGTTTGATGCATGCAGTTCTTGTTGGAGACGAATACCAATTACCAGCCACAGTTAAGAGCAAGGTAAATAAATGTTTGATTAACTAATTTCATTATATTAATTATTAATTATAATACTTTTTATACTCGCGCAGATATCGGAAAAAGCTGGATTTGGGAGAAGTATGTTTGAAAGATTGAGTTTGTTAGGTCACCCTAAGCATCTGCTTAATGTGCAATACCGAATGCATCCGTCAATAAGTCGGTTTCCGAATTCGAGTTTCTATCGGAACCAGATATTAGATGCGCCTATTGTGCAGTGCCGAAGCTACGAAAGATGCTATCTTCAAGGGAGGATATACGGGCCTTATTCGTTTATAAATATTCCCGGGAGTAACGAAGAATTTGATGATTTCGGGCGCAGTCGAAGAAATATGGTTGAGGTGGCTGTAGCTGTGATGCTAGTGCACAAACTCTTCAAAGGTATGCTAACAATGTTCATTGGAAGGCCTCATCAAATTCTTGTCGTGTCATGAATTTAAGGCCAAATAAGTGCATCATGAACTACTTATTCATAAAAGGGTCCAGACCAAAAGCTATTTTTTCCAGACAATGTTCAGAGTTGTGTATAAGACTAAAATACTCCCTCATATTTTAATATGTTTCAATTTCATTCTTTAATCCAATTTAAACTCAACTTGTCCCCAAATTTCACCAATTATTCAATTTTAACCTCTAACCCAATTTTCACTCTAATTTCGACCGTCGCCGTCGTTGGCCGTCGGTCCGGCATTAACCTTTGTTTTTTCCTTTTTTTCTTTTTTCCGTCGCCGCTGACCGGCGGTCAACACAACTCTTTGCGGCTTTGACTTATTTTCTCTTTTTTTTTTGAAAACTATTTTTGAAACCGGCAGAAAAAAAAAAAAAATCAAAATTGGATTTTTATGGTCAAAATTGATAAAATTGAAGTAAAATTGAGGTTACAGTTAGGAATTAAGTTTAAAGAGTTAAGTAATTTTGTCATATACGTTAAGTTTGCCTTTATTTATAATGGAATGAGTTTATTGGCGAATGAGATATAGGACGTATGCATAAAAATCCCAAAATTTAATTCACTTCAATAATCCTGAAGTCTTATTATGTTGTCGTTTACGAACTTTATGAACAGCATGGTATGGATCAAATGAGAAACTCAGCATCGGCTTGATTTCCCCATACGCGGCGCAAGTTGCAGCAATTCAAGACAAGGTTCAGCGCAAGTACGGGAACCTCGAAAAGTTTATAGTCAACGTGAAGTCAATCGACGGCTTTCAAGGCGGAGAGGAAGATATAATAATTATATCAACTGTAAGGTCTAGTAAAGGTGGATCCATTGGTTTCTTGTCGAGCCCTCAAAGAACCAACGTAGCTTTGACAAGAGCTCGGTATGCCGTCTCAAATGATTATGATCATGGTTTTTTTACTTGGATTTAATTTACGGTTTTTTGTTCGATAATGATCATGTTGTGTGTTTTTTTTTTCTTTTTTCCTAGTCATTGTCTCTGGATATTAGGAAACGAAAGAACTTTGAGTGAAAGTGATGCAGTTTGGAAAGCACTAATATCCGATGCTAAGGAACACGATCGTTTCTTCACTGCCGACGAAGATTGCGACATTCAAAAAGCTATTGTAGACGTTAAGAAAGAGTTGGAACAACTCGAAGACCTTCTTAGTGGCAATAGTCCACTCTTCAAAAATTCAAGTTGGAAGGTACAACTCGTTTCTTTATGTTGTACTCAAATTATATCCGTCGATTCTTCAATTTCCGAAATGGCAAATTTTTCAGGTTGTATTCAGTGAAAACTTCCGAAAGTCGTTTCAGAAATTGAATCCTTCCAATGTTAAGAATCTCGCGATAACTGTTTTACTTAAGCTTGCAAGTGGCTGGCGGCCCAAGAATATAAACGTGGACTGGAAATGCGAGAGCTCTTCGTATATTGTGAAGCAAATCAAGGTTGCAAATTACTATGTTGTGTGCTCAATCGACTTAGTTAAGGACCCTATTTACGTACAAATTTTCAAAGTGTGGGATATATTGCCTATGACGGAGACTACAAAGCTACTGAAACGGCTTGACAGCATTTTTGCTATGTATACGGATGATTTTATCAACCGCTGCAATGAGAAGATGCGCGAGGGGTACGTAAATTAATTTTCAATTGATTTTTTTTATCTTCATTTTTTCCACTTAAAAAAAATCTTGATTGGTCGCAATTTAATTCCGTTTTTTTTTTTTTTTCAGGAATTTGGAGGTGCCAAAGAGTTGGTCGGTATCCGATGATATAATCCGGTTCAAGAATCAAAATGAAACCAAAGTCAATAGTAGTGCGAGTGTTGAATGCAGAAGTCATGTTGAAAATGCCAAAGTGAACGAGAGCTTATTGTTGATGAAATTTTATTCATTGTCGAGTGATGTTGTGAATCATTTGCTTACCGATGTCGAGGGAAGAGAAGTGGATCTCCCGTTTGAGGTTACCGATGAAGAGCGTGCAATAATAATGTTTCCAAGGAGCAGCTTTATATTAGGTCGATCTGGTACTGGGAAGACGACTATTTTGACTATGAAGTTGTACCAGAAGCTTCATCAGTACTCCATTGCCACACGGGATTCTATGACAGCTGGCGATGTTGCGCCTATTTTGCATCAGCTTTTTGTTACCGTTAGTCCAAAACTCTGTTATGCTGTCAAAAAGCATGTATCTCATCTAAAGAGGTGCGTTTGGAGCTCCAATTCATCGTCGTCTTTGTTTTTTTTCAAAATGCGTTACATGTCGTTTTACAATAGAATGTGGAAATGGCCAAAGTAGCAAGAAATGTGATTCCGTTTATTTCAAACCTGAAAATAAATGGAACCTTGATAACAAACAATATGTTCTGTCTGAATCGTATACTGACCTTTTCTTTACTATTTGTATAGCTTTGCTAGTGAGAACGCCTCCGAAAATAACAACTTAGCGGATATGGATGACTTAGACGAAATGGCTGAATTTAGAGATATACCGGACACATTTGTTGGCATCGAACCAGAAAAATATCCTCTGATCATCACATTTCATAAGTTTTTAATGATGCTCGATGGTACTTTGGGTAATTCTTACTTTGAGAGATTTCGTGATGTAAGAGGCTCCTCACAGTACGAAGGAAGAAGATCTATTGCACTGCAGACTTTCATAAGGAGAAACGAGGTTACTTATGACCGTTTTCGGTCCTTATATTGGCCCCATTTCAATGCTAAGCATACAAAAATTCTCGATCCCTCAAGAGTGTTCACTGAAATTATGTCGCATATCAAAGGAAGTCTAAAAGAAGGGGAATCGGGCGAAACCAAGCGAAGCAGGGAGGGGTACGTTTCACTATCTGAAAGTAGGGTGTCCACTTTATGTGCAGAGAAGAGGGATGCGATTTATGATATTTTCGACGACTACGAGAAAATGAAAGTGGAGCGTGGTGAATTTGATCTTGCTGATTTTGTGATCGACATTCATCTACGGCTCAAGAACGAGGAGGATTTAATGGGTGATAAAATGGATTTCGTGTACATCGACGAAGTGCAAGACCTCACCATGAGGCAAATTTCCCTTTTTCGATTTATTTGCAAAAATGTGGACGAAGGATATGTATTTTGCGGCGATACAGCACAGACGATTGCACGAGGGATTGACTTTCGGTTTGAAGACATTAGATCATTGTTCTATAATGAGTTCTTTATGAAATCATCAAGAATTTGTGAGCCTTCAGCTTCAGGGAGGAGAGAGAAAGGGGTTATATCGGATACGTTTTGTTTATCGCAGAATTTCCGTACTCATACTGGTGTACTTAGGTTGGCACAAAGTGTCATAGATCTTATTTGCCATTTTTTCCCACAATCAATTGATGCATTGGCTCCAGAGACTAGTCTTATATACGGTGAGTCACCTGTTGTACTCGAACCGGGTAGTGACGAGAATTTGATTATGAGTATTTTTGGACATAGTGGACATGATGGTGGAAAATGGGTCGGGTTTGGTGCTGACCAAGTAATTTTAGTACGGGACGATTCTGCCAGAAACGAAATTTTCAACTACATTGGCAAACAGGCTCTTGTTCTGACTATAGTTGAGTGCAAGGGGCTCGAGTTTCAGGTCAGAAATAATGCTTCTTGCAACTAAATTTAATGGGTTTTTTTTTACTCCTTATATTTTATGCTTCTACAATTAATAATGTTTCAATTCAAAAACTAACAATTTTTATAATTATGCTTCTACATTAATGTAAGAATTAATCTTGTAGGATGTTTTATTGTACAACTTTTTTGGTTCATCACCAATGAGTGATCAATGGAGGGTTTTGTACGAATTCTTGAAAGAAAAGGATCTACTTGATTCCACTACTCCAAAGTCGTTTCCGAGTTTTAGCGAGTCAAGGCACAACATCTTGTGCTCTGAACTGAAGCAACTATACGTGGCGATCACTCGAACGAGGCAAAGATTGTGGATATGTGAAAACAATGAAGAGCTGTTGAAGCCAATACTCGACTATTGGAGAAGGTTGTGCCTTGTCCAAGTGCGGAAAATAGACGATTCTCTTGCATTCGCAATGCAAAGAGCTAGCAGCCCCGAGGAGTGGAAATCACAAGGAGTCAAGGTTTTTTGAATTGTATTTTCCCGGGTTTTTTTTTTTTTATTTATATTTTTTGCATTATTTATTCTGATTGTATTTTTATTTTTGCAGCTCTTTTGGGAGAAAAATTATGAGATGGCAACAGTGTGCTTCGAAAAAGCAGGAGAAGAAACATGGGAGAAAAGGGCTAAGGCTTCTGGTCTTAGAGCTTCGGCCGACTCTATGCGTGGTTCAAACCCGAAAGAGGCACGTGTAATGCTTAGAGAGGCTGCCGAAATATTTGATTCTATTGATCGAGCTGATACTGCAGCAGAATGTTTTTGCGACTTAGGGGAGTACGAAAGAGCAGGTACACTGATTACTGTCTACTATTGGAATATTACTGTATTACACAAGAGTAGTGATTTTTGTTGTGTTTACATAGTAATATAACAATATTATTGTGTTAAACAATAACATACTTAATATTACTGTCAACAACAGTAATATTACTGTTTAAACGGGCCATAAAATGTTCAGAAAAAAAAAAGTCAACGCCGCCGGAGACCAGCTTTGATCGCCGGTCAGCAGCGGCGGAAAAAAGAAAAAGGAAAATCAACGTCAGAGACCGGAGGTCAATGGCGGCAATGGTCAAAATTGTAGTCAAAATTGCATAATTGGTGAAATTTGGGGTCAAAATTAATGTTAAATTGAATTATATGATGAAATTGGAGCATATTAAAATATGAGGGGTATTTTAATCTGTTACACACCTCTGAATATTGTTCGGATTTTTATGAATAAGTCCAAAAGTGAATAATACCTAATACCAAATGTACCCGGTCTAGGTCCTATGTTGCATGATTTTTTTATTTTACGAACGCTACAAAGAAACTTGGAAGATTTTACTCATATTAAAAATCCTAAATTCGACATCTAACTTAGCGTTGATAAAATTTAGATTATACGAGAGGAGGAATTACAAGCTAAATTAGAGGAGTATTTGTAAATTTTAAGCGTTCGTATAAATAAATTTCGACGAGTTTGCTAGCTACATCATTAGGGTAAAATTCAAATGTTCGAGTGAAATGCTACTTTTGCATAGTTATTGCATATAAACAATATTTTTTATTTAATTTTCTGGTGCAGGAAGGATTTATTTGGAAAAATGTGGTACGTCTGAGCTTCGAAAAGCAGGGGAATGTTTCTTATTAGCTGGAAATTACAAACTTGCAACCGAAGTTTATAACAAGGGGAATTTTTTCGACGAGTGCTTATCAGCTTGCACCAAAGGCAATCATTTTGACCTCGGTCTGCGATACATCGAGCAATGGAAACAACAAGCATCATTCGATACCGAAATTATTGCACAACAGTTTCTCGAAAAATGTGCTTTGGAATGTCGTAAGAAAAAGGACAGTGCATCGATGATGAAGTTTGTTCGTGCTTTCTGTACGGACGAATCGAAACGCAACTTCTTGAAGTCAAGGGACTGCCTTGAGGAGCTTCTAATATTGGAGGAAGATTCCGGAAATTTTATCGAGGCTGTACAGATTGCACAACAATTGGGACATACTTTACGTGAGATTGATTTGCTCGAAAAAGCTAAAGACTTTCGAAATGCTTCTTTGCTCGTAATTTCGTATGTATTGAATAACTCTCTTTGGGTTAATGGAAGTAAAGGTTGGCCTCTAAAATCATTTCCTGAAAAGGAAGAGATTTTAGCGAAAGCTATTTCCGATGCAAAGAAGGTTTCGGAAAATTTTCATGCATCAATTTGTGCGGAGGCCAAATTTTTGTCTATGAGTGATAGGATGAACTTGTCCGAGTTGATGCACTGTTATAGTGCTTCGAAGCAATACAAATCTCGTGTGGTCGAAATTCTATCCGTCAGAAAATTCCTCGATGCCCATTTTCAAGTGCATCCGACAAAATACGAATCGGATCCTCAATTAATGCTCATTGATCGAAGTTCATTCGAAGAACGAATGTCGAAGAACAAAGTCTCTGATGGAACGCTGGTTTTCGTTTGTAACCTATGGAAGGTGCAAAGCTTGGAGATCTTCGAATGCCTCGACTCTATCGAAAGGGCTGACCTCAGCGAATGTGAAGATACTGCTCGATTCTGTTTTAACTACTTTGGAGTGAGGTCGACAAATAACTCGAGCGACACCTGTATATTGCTCAACCCTAATTCTGCATGGATTCGAAATTCCGACAAGAGGTTCATTTTGCGGAAAAGAAACGTGGCAACTCTTGATGCCCGTGATTTTGCATCAGCTGCTCGAGAATATTGGTGTCAAGAAATAGTTTCGACTGGACTACGAGTTTTGGAGGCTCTTCAATCTCGTTTGATGAAGCTCTCGTTGTCTATGTACTGCCAGAGTGTGTGCCTCGTTCACATTTTCGACATAACAAGGTTCGTCGAGTCGAAATCACTAACCATGAAACTGCAGAAATTTCTGTCGTTATGCGTCGAGTCCAAATACTTCCAATTTGTTTTTCCGTTGGACCCTCGACAGTCAGTATCCGAGGATATGGTATCTTTAAGAGAAACCGTATTTTCCAATAATTTACTCGAAGAACTTATCTCGATAAATATTGTTAGCTCAACGAATAATAATGAACTCAGTTATGGGCGTATAGGAGAGGCGGTGATGACAATGCTCGGGTCTGGATTATTGCAGAGAAACGGAATTCATGAGAAAATTATTACAAGGCTGTCTGCAAACTCGTCGTGGAAGTCATTCATCGAAAATCTGATCAGTGTGCAAGAATCTTCGAAAGAATCTCTTAGTCGCGAGTTTCATAATGCACTTGTAGAAACTTACAACGTAAACTGGAGGGCGAGTGACTATATTTCTCCGAAATGTTTCTTTTATCTTGTGGAGAGGCTCTTGATTTTGGTACCCCACTCTCGAGGTTTTTTTTTCACTACGAAGTCGTCGTTCGTGGAGTATTTAATGTGCCTTAAACCGGATGCTAACCCGAGTTCCGGTTTCGTCACGGACAAGAAATCGTATGCTGCAGATACGTTTAACTTTGTGGCGAGTGTGGTCAGAAAATGCCTTTATAACAGTCAGTCTACATTAGAATGGATTGGTCGTTCTACTATCGACGTCAACTACTATTTTCCAGTGCTTATGCTGAGGATGTTCATGATTCTGTGTTTATCGTGTCTGAATTCGGAGTTGTCGTTCAACGTACTTTTTGAGGTGATTCAAGTACCTCATATCAAATGCCAGCTGCCGTGGAATTTTTGCGAAGCAATTCGGTGTAGAAGGATGAACAATGTGTCGGACGAATCTGCAGTTGCTGGAGCATTCAATATTATCGGGGATCCACTTGTTATTGTTGCCTTGAACGAGAATAGGCTCAAGTTTGTATGCCCGAATGCCGTTTTTCTTGATTTGAAGTCCTTCTCGTGTAGAAATGAGGTCATCGAGAAACTATTTCCTAGGAGGAGTACTGAAGCATCTTTATACAAAGATAAAAAAGCTACCGTCGAAAGAAATGTTGTTAGTGAACAAGTTACCGTTACGAAATCTTCAAAACCGACATTGGAAACCGATTCACATTTGGAAAACTCGGGGATTGGAAAAGGGGATCTTCGAATAGAGTTAAATTGGGTTACTATTTGGGAATTGTTTGACGCATTTGAGTCGTTAAAGAATAAAAACGATGGAGATTCCAAGAGCCTTGTCCTGAGAAAGAAGGTAATAAGTGCATGCGATTTTAGTTTTTAACGTGTCGAATTATTGGCTAATATCTTTTCTGCTTATTTTTCGATTTCTTTTAGGAGGAAGTGGAGGAGCATGTAAAGTTTGTAACTGCTTTTTACTCCGGAGAAGATGAAAATGCGCTGCACGAAACCACGACAATGATTGCGGGATTGACCGAGCTTTGTTCTTTGTTAGATACGAGGTTAGTTGTAAGAAAATCATTTCGGAAATAACTAAATTGAAAAGAAAACGATTGATAAATCATGTTAACTCATTGTCATGATGATTATTAGTGACTTCGATACTAAGGAGATGCTGGAGATGGGAGAAATTATGATTGAAGAAATTACGAAGGGATTGAAAGAGACAAGGCCTCGATTAATGTCGAGTTCGAATAACGATCCACCAAATGTAAGTACTATTGAACCTCAAGTAGTGGCGGATGGTGACAAGATGATTCCTTCGAGTTCCGTTGTTGCTGATGATGACGAGGATGAAGACGCCAAAAATTATAGCAAAAATGGAAAAGGAAAGGGGAAGAAGAAACCGCAGTCGAAAAAGGGGAAAGGGAAAGGGAAAGGGAAAGGGAAAGGAGGTAAAAGAAAGTAAAAAACCTCGTCTAAAGTATGTATTTTTGCTCTCGTTTTGAGCATCTCCCATGTTACTTTTTGTTTTAAGCCCGGGGGGTCGAGTGCTCGAATCGAGTATTTATCTCGTCTCACATTCTACACACTTTGTGTGTGTGTGCGTGTAAGTACATGATTGTAATGACCCGTCACATGTTACACTTCTATTTGTAGCATAACTTCATGACTGTATATATGAATTTGAAAGAATTCAGTGCCTCTAAATTCGGATAATTTAGATACAACTTGTATAAAATCCGAGATCTTTAAACAAGACTAATAAAAACTTGTAGTAATAAAGATTTTGTAGCGGAACATAAATAACACAAGTTTTTAAATCATTATCCACAAGTATATATATAACTTATGGATGAAGCCTTTACATGCTACAACCAGTATTCAAAAGAATACGATTGAGAAGCCAAGCTCTTCTCTTCTAAGAAGATTACACAAGATGATTTTTTCGTAGACTAATTCCCAGTAACTAATGCAAAAGCACTTAATGATACACTAGGAATACAAATTATTATTCAATAGGATTGAATACAAAACAGACTCAAATATCCAACAAAATTGAATTTCATACGAAAAACAAAAGGAATAAACTGCAAAAACCATCGTTTTTGTACTATCGAAACTGCTTAAAAAAAGTTCATGTATTAAAAAAATGAGCGAAAAGATGTGCTAGATGCATATTACACATAGCAATGTAGCAAGTGATCGAAACCATTACACATTGTCGAATCAATTTCAACAATAAAAACATATCGACCAAATGAAATCATTATAGTGAAATTTATTTAATTCAAATTCGAAGAAAAAAAACGTACATAATCTTATTCGGTTTACGACATCATATTGTATATAACTTAATGCCGTGGTCTTGTTCGAAGAGAGGCATGTCGTTGCGATTCAACTGCACCCACGCATCAATTCCGTCACCCTCTTTGTTATCCATTAGTATTACGCTGTTTTCAAGAGTCATTGTCCCGATTCGTGCACCGACAGGCTTCCCCCACCCGAAATCGGCTTCGTAGAATCCAAACTTACTCCAATCGCTAAACATGATTGAATAACTAACCTCCCCACTCATTAGTTTCCCGTACATATCTTCCACGGGGCCCATCATTACACTTCGCCAACGACCCGGAGAAAACATTTCGGCACAATCAGCTATGGTTTTATCGAGAGCATCACCGAGAATATCAACCAGTTGTTGTTCGATCCCAATTACAACGTTATTATTATCGTTGTTATTATTATTTGTTGTTTCGGCCGGAGAAATAAAGCACGGGGTGGGCGATAATAATATCAAATTTCCACAAGAGTGTTTTTGGAGAGGCGGGATTGTTCTCGCACGCATGTTCACCGCTTGCGACGTGAGGCAAGATCTCGATTCTCCTCCGTGCTTCGCCCGGTCAACGCCGATCAACGCCTTGGCTACGACCGCGCACACCAGGCGCACTCTGGAGATTCTCGTGCTTTGTTTTGTCCCTTGTGATAGTTTCGATCTAAGGGTCGCTATCGCATCCTTGTCGAACGAAAATCTCTTGACGACAATATTAGGATCATAGGTTGTCCTAACGGGCGACGAATCCTGGTCCGGATTCGTCCCCGGAAACAACGATGGCGACTCGAAACTCGGGCGAATCCCGATCGGATGATTGTTATCGTTTGTGGCATTTGACCACGCGGCAATGAATGTCCCGAGAGAAGATGCATCGAAAATTCTGTGACAAACGCTGACGCTTATTACAAGCCCGCCGCGCAGCTTCAACTCCGTGACCTGGATCGACAGAAGCGGATCTTCCGAAGATTCGTCGGCTCGGTAGAATTTGCTCGGAAGGAGATCATTTAGTATCCCTGCTTCTTTGATTTCCAATAAATCGACCAACTCTACTTCGACGGCTTCTGCTTCTACGAACTCAACACCTTGATCACCGCAATCGACGACGTAGTCATTCTTGACGTATCTTCCGGCAAGAATGTAGAATTCGGGTAGGATTTTAGCCAACGATTCCTCCAAGCGATGTTTTCGAATATTTGACGACGTTGGATAAAACAGAACGACGCCCACGTTTATCGGCGGGACGCGCTCGTCTACGAAAGACAACTTGTACTTGTTAAGGTTCGGAGGAGTTGGGGTACATGGTTTTATCAACTTACTGCTAACAACCTTAACTTTCATGCTTGGATATATTTATCAGGGGTGATTACATGATCTCTTGTGAGTAATGTCTTTTTATAAAGCTAATTAATATTGAGCTGGCTTTTGGGAATTTACATGTGAAGGTTCTTGAGCAGCTAATGCCAAATGTCCAGCCATGCACTATTAAAAAAATATTGGGTAAATTACGGCCACCCCTGAGGTATGATCAAATTACGAAAAAACCCCTATTGTTTGGGTAATTACTGACACCCCTCCTTTTAAATGTTTTTACATAAAATTTATGTAATTCGATTATTTACCGAACCAAATCGTATATTCATTTCGGTAAACGGTATGAAATGTTGGCGTACCGAAAATTTGGTTCGGTTTTACTGATTTAACCTCCCTAAATTTACCCCTGGAGGGGTTTTTTCGTAGGATAATACATAGTTGAGGGGTGACTATAGTTGAGGGGTGACTGTAATTACCCAAATAGGAGGGGGTTATCGTAATTTGATCATAACTCAGGGGTGAGTGTAATTTGCCCAAAAAAAATCATGAGAGGGTAAAATACGGTTTTCATCCTTCAACTTAGTACTAGTTTCACATTTGGTCTCTCATATTCATAAAAAATATATTTAGTCCCTCATGTTTAAAAAATAAAACATTTCTAGTCATTTCCGTCAAATTTTCTGTTAATACTAACAGGATCGAGTATGTGTCCATCATTTCCTTAACTGAGGAATTAACGATAAATTGACGGAAATGACCAAACATTTAAATTATTGAAACATGAGGGATCAAATGTGTTTTTTTGTGAACATGAAGGACCGAATGTGAAATCAGTACAAACTTAAGGGATGAAAACTGTAATTTTCACTATCATGAGAAATAATGAAAAGTATAGTTGGATTTAAATATACTTAGTCGCCCAGAAGTGGGTATAATGTTAACGTCTGATGAGATAATTAATATGGGCCAATTAGATATAAAATCGTTAAATTAAATTTTCATGTACCACACGATAGTTTTAGGTTTGGATTAGAGTCCATCAAATTACACTGTTAGTCTGGGTTTGGCAGCAATTGTCTATGTGAGGGAGGCCTGGGTATGGGTGGCCCACAATCGAATGTCGTGGGCGCTTATGTTTGTTGAGTGCATTATAAAGTTAGAATTTGCGCATTTTCTGACACCAATTGATTTTATGACAACTTGTAGCACCTAGGATCCTACATATGTTTTCCTATATATCCTGGTCCTTTTGTATTTGACTTGGATCCAATAATTTCAAACCCGCTTGCGTGTAAATCGCCGAAGTCAACTGAGTTGGTAGACTGGTTTGGTCGGTAGAATAGGTCAATTTCTAGATCCATTTTGAGAATGAATCCTTTCAAATTTGAGAAAATATAAAACACGAAAGTTTTAGCCCTTTGAGTTGTAGCCCAAATCATATTGATCGAAGATACGATCAAATGAAAATTACACTGAATCATGTCAAAGGGTCGACCGAACTGGTCAACTCAGTAAGTCACACTAATTTGGTGGACTAATTAAGTAGGTCAAGTTCAAGCTCGATTTTGATAGTGATGCCGTTTGAATGTAAGAAAATATAAACCATAAGATTTTTAGCTCTTTGAGTTGGAATCATTTTGAATTATCTTTGATTGAAGATCGGATGAAAAACAAATACGATCAAAATACTAACAAAAAGTATGTCGAAAGGTTGGTTCAATAGGTAAAGGTTAGCTGAGTTGGTCGACTGAGTAGTTTAATTTCAAGCTCGATTTTGACAATGATCACATTCGAATTTGATCGAGAATGCATAAGTGGCGTGGTTTATTTCACTATAAATTACATAGGATTCACTAATTGTGGCATGCCAAAAGACAATTTGTTTAGCTACAAAACTAAGTCAAACCAGAGAAGCTGCAATAGCAAATCAGAATCACTAACATGTTGAACATATTCTTTGTATTTATTTCCTTAGTTTTTCGGCCTCTCATTTTCAGGGCGTTAGATGTGACACCTGGTTATTTATATCGGGTGAATTTGAACGTAGATTTAATTATATAAATACACACTAAGCATGCATACACATGGGTGCATTTTTTATTATGTATAGATCTACAGATCAAATCCACGCAATATAAATAATCAGACGCAACATCTAATTAATCTGAAAATATCATTACATGCATTACTCGAGCTTTATTTTTTTTATCCACCATTCCGCCAAATTAGGATCATGTGAAAATTCAACTATGTATACGTCAACATCCAGCCACGCACCATAATTAAAATAGTAACACGAGGCATTATGTAAGAAAAGATATATAGTTGATAGTTGAAAATACACTTGTGAAGTATGACGAGGATTAAGCTAGAATTAACCAACTCATTTAAGAGCCATCTTGTTAATCAATAATGGAAGACGTTGATTAAGGGATAAATGATAAATTATTCGAGGTTATTTGAGTCTTTAACAAAAGCAAAATTAACCTTCAATGCTACTAAATTTTCTCTGTCTTTTGCTTTAGATATATTTTGATGGATATAAAATAACCCCTCTATTCCATAATATTTGTCTCTTTTAGGAATTTTTTGTTTTTCCATATTATCTGTAATTTTACAATTCCAAGGCTGCATTAATTACATATTTTTCAATTATACCCTTATTAATTTTTCAACACTCTTTTTGCATTAATTAGTATCTATTTTCCTAAAATCCAGACATATTTATTGAGATTCTTAAGACTTGTGTCAATGTGAAAAACGACACATATTTAGGAACGGAGGGAGTATTACTTATTGAGTTTAGGGTTTGCGTTTTGCTAAAGTCAAACCTAACCTTAACCAAATTGTGTTTTATTGAGTTTTCAGAATTTTCAGTTCAAACCCTAATAATTTTAGAAAAGCCCTCTCTCCAAATTGCATAGAACCTAATTGCAATTTTTATAATTTCTCAAAACATCATCATCTTCTTTCTCCCTCTCCTTCAGATCTGCTCCTCGCCAAAAAAAAAAAAGAAAAAAAAAAACAATATCCAGCGGTTCATCTCCATAACCAGCCCGTTTGCAAAAGAAAAAAAACAACAAAAGTTGATTTCTCCATCTAAACCCGCCGGAAGACAAAGGCACTCCACGCACAAAAAACATAGGCCCCAGCACCACATACACACACAAAACTAACTCGATCCAAAATCTTGATTTACAAGAGATCTGGATGAATCCATCAAACATAAAGCATAGTCTTTTTTTGGGGTGGGAAGGCAGGTGGTGAGGCGGTGGTGGTGAGGTGGTGGTGATGCTGCGGCGGAGGGCTCGATGGAAGAATTGGGTTGGGGGAGGAAGATGATGGCCGTGGGTGATAATTTCCTTTTTTTTTTTTTTTTTTTTTTTTTTTTTCTTTTTGCATTTTATTTATTTAATTGAAACATAAATTATTAAAAAATATGAGGGTAAGTTTAGTTATTTCATATAAGTCAACTGCTAATTTCAAAATAAGGGGCAGAGTGCTTCGTCAAAAATAATATAGGGGGGGTCTATGCTAATATTTTTTTTTAACATGAGTGAGTTTTTAGCCATTCGAGATTTCACAGGGTGTTCTATGCAATTAGCTCGTTCATTTCCATCTAAAGTTTTGAAAATATTGGGTACAAAAGATACTAGTTGAAAATCATCAAGATGCTGAGGTTTTCTAATGGCTCCCCTAGTTCTATCTCTAGTCAATTGATAGTTATCCAAATTATCATTGACATAAGGCACATTAGATTCAACATTTTGATCATACACATTTTCTGCAAGTTGATCAGATTCATTTTCATGGTCAGGATTATTATTTTTCACACAAAGTATTAGAAGAAGGAATCTCCACCTCATTTGAGGCAAAATCAACAATAACAATATTTAAACAAGAAAATTTATTTTCATTAAACATAACACTTGTACTCATAACCAAGATCTAAAAACCTTTACTCTTTAAGGATAACCAAAAAAAAAAAAACACTTAATAGATCTTGGTTCAAGTTTATCATGTTTTTATGCACAAATGCAGTACTACCAAACACTTTCAAGTTGGACAGATCAGCGGGTTCACCACACCACACAGTTTCAGGCAAATTACCACTTAATGGCACATGAGGAGATTTATTACTGACATATGCATCAGTTAAGAAGGTTCTGCGCGTCCCACCTAGTTGAAGAAAGAGGTGAAAAGAATCGACGAAGAAGAGAAGAGAAAATCGTGAATGAAAAAGCGTGAACATAGTACTCAAAACGATATGTTAGAAGGTGCAAAATTAGTAGGTGCAGGAACTGTTACACTTACAATTGCTTTAGCGGGAGCTGCGCTCGCTATTGGAAACAACCTTCGCCAACATTTAGAGGCTGCGTTAATGAATTTTATAAATGATGTGAAGCGAATATTTAGTTGGGCTTGCCATTTAGTTCTAATAAGTTTTATCACTATTTCCTCAAAGTATTTACGAGATGAAATCCATCTTGTGGGGCTCGATCCTACTCGAGATGATCGATTAATTTATACCCTATGCTTTTATTCTGACATAGCTATATCTATGTGGAGATACATTCGTGCATCATTTCACAAACCCTACGTTGTTTCTTCGGTCTTGCAGACGATTAATATTTCGACGGGGAAATCGATCGGGTTCTACTAACCAAACTTGCCTCGTTTGTCTTGGCATATGCTTCTTTGGCTTCATTGCGGCAAGGACGAATCGACCATTGGATAATTGATTGTTAAAAATCCGACATCAATTTTCCAGATATGCTTACAATAGGAGAAATTCAACACATGGCCATACAATTACATACTTAAGCACACGCACACACACACATAAAGCGTGTAAAATGTGACACGAGAAAATTTAATACTTGATCGAGCACTCGACCCCCCGGGCTTAAAACAAAAAGTTACATCAGAGATGCTCAAAAAGGGAGCAAAAATACGTACCGTAGACGATGCTTTTTTACTTTCTTTTACCTCCTTTTCCTTTCTCTTTCCCTTTTTTCGGGTGCTGTTTCTTCTTCTTCCCCCCGCTTTTGCTATTATTTTCTCCATCTTCATCCTCGTCGTCATCAGAAACAACACAACTTTGAGATCCGACAGTACTCACATTCGGCCTTCTTTCTTCCAATCTCTTCAAAATCTCTTTAATCTTGAGCATGGCCGCTTTAGTATCAAAGTCACTGCAATCATGACAAAGGCTTTAATACGATATTATATATCAATCGTATATATTCTCTCACTTTTGTTATTCCAAATGATATTTTTTTTAACGACTAACCTCGTGTCTAACAAAGAACAAATCTCGGTCAGTTCATCAATCGTGGTGGTGTTTTCGTCCGGCACATCATTTTCATCTTCACCGGAGTGAAACCGAGACCTCTTCCGCTCACTTAACTTTGCCATGTCACCAGTTAAAAACTTTATATGCTTCTCCACTTCCTCCTGAAAAAAAAAAAAACAAGCAGACGAGAGATATATCATACACATAAAAAAAAAAATTATCAGCCGATTGATTATAAACTCCCCGAATAAAAAAATAAATAATAATAATAATTTCACTTTACCTTCTTTATCATGACAAGGCTCTTCGAATCTCCATCGTTTCTATTCCGTAAGGCGTCAAGTAATTCCAGAATAATACCCTCTGTCATTTTAGAAGATTCCGTAACTTGTTCACTAACAACATTAGGTTCGACGGTGGCTTTTTTATCACTGCTCTTAGGAAATAGTTTTTCGATGACCTCATTTCTACACGAGAAGGACTTTAAGTCAAGAAAAATGGCATCGGGGCATACAAACTTGAGACGACTATTTTCGTTCGAGGCTACAATAACAAGTGGATCCCCGATAATATTGAATGCTCCAGCAACTGCAGCTTCATCCGACGCATTGTTTGTCCTTCTACACCGAATCGCTTCGCAAAAATTCCGCGGCAGCTGGCATTTGATATGGGGCACTTTAAGCACCTCAAGAAGTACGTTGAGCGACAACTCCGAATTCAGACACGATAAACAAAGAATCATGAACAACCTCAGCATAAGCACCGGAAGATAGTACTTGCCGTCGATATTAGAACGACCAATCCATTCCGCTGTAGCCTGACTGTTATCAAGACATTCTCTGACCACACTCGCCACAAAGTTAAACGTGTCTGCGGCATTCGATTTCTTGTCCGTTACTAAACCGGAACTCGGGTTAACATCCGGTTCAAGGCACATTAAATACTCCACGAACGACGATTTTGTAGTGAAAAAAAACCCTCGAGAGTGGGGAACCAAAATCAAGAGCCTCTCCACGAGATAAAAGAAACATTTCGGAGAAATATAGTCACTCGCCCTCCAGTTTATGTTGTAAGTTTCTACAAGTGCATTATGAAACTCGCGACTAAGGGCTTCTTTCGAAGATTCCTGCACACTGATCAGATTCTCGATGAATGACTTCCACGAAGAGTTTTCAGACAGCCTTGTAATAATTTTCTCATGAATTCCGTTTCTCTGCAATAATCCAGACCCGAGCATTGTCATCACCGCCTCTCCTATCTGCCCATAACTGAGTTCATTATTATTCCTTGAGCTACTAACATTTCTCGAGATAATTTCTTCGAGTAAATTATTGGAAAGTTCGGATTCCCTTAAAGATACCATATCCTCAGATAACGAGTGTCGAGGGTCCAAAGGAAAAACTGAATTGAAATATCTGGAGTCGACGCATAACGAAAGAAAATTCTGCAGTTTCTTTGTGGTGGGTGATTTCGACTCGACGAACCTTGTTATGTCGAAAATGCGAACGAGGCACACACTTTGGCAGTACATAGACAACGAGGGCTTCATCAAGCAAGATTGAAGAGCGTCCAAAACTCTTAGACCAGTCGAAACTATTTCTTGACACCAATATTCTCGAGCAGCTGATGCAAAATCACGGGCATCAAGAGTTGCCACGTTTCTTTTCCGCAAAATGAACCTCTTGTCGGAATTTCGAATCCATGCAGAATTAGGGTTGAGCAATATACAGGTGTCGCTCGAGTTATTTGTCGACCTCACTCCAAAGTAGTTAAAACAGAATCGAGCAGTATCTTCACATTCGCTGAGGTCAGCCCTTTCGATAGAGTCGAGGCATTCGAAGATCTCCAAGCTTTGCACCTTCCATAGGTTCCAAACGAAAACCAGCGTTCCATCAGAGACCTTGTTCTTCGACATTTTTTCGTCGAATAAACTTCGATCAATGAGCATCAATTGAGGATCCGATTCGTATTTTGTCGGATGCACTTGAAAATGGGCATCGAGGAATTTTCTGACGGATATAATTTCGACCATACGAGATTTGTATTGCTTCGAAGCACTATAACACTGCATCAACTCGGACGAGTTCATCCTATCACTCATAGACAAAAATTTGGCCTCCGCACAAATGGTTGCATGAAAATTTTCCGAAACCTTCTTTGCATCGGAAATAGCTTTCGCTAAAATCTCTTCCTCTTCAGGAAATGATTTTAGAGGCCAACCTTGACTTCCATACACCCAAAGAGAGTTATTCAATACATACGAAATTACGAGCAAAGAAGCATTTCGAAAGTCCTTAGCTTTTTCGAGCAAATCAATCTCACGTAGAATAAGTCCCAACTGTTGTGCAATATGTACAGCCTCGATAAAATTTCCGGAATCTTCCTCCAATATTAGAAGCTCCTCAAGGCAGTCCCTTGACTTCAAGAAGTTTCTTTTAGATTCTTCCGTACAGAAAGCACGAACAAACTTCATCATCGATGCACTGTCTTTTTTCTTATGACATTCGAAAGCACATTTTTCGAGAAACTGTTGTGCAATATTGTCGATCTCCTTAAATCTTGTCATAATTCCGGTATCGAATGATGCTTGTTGTTTCCATTGCTCGATGTATTGCAGACCGAGGTCAAAATGATTGCCTTTGGTGCAAGCTGATAAGCACTCGTCGAAAAAATTCCCCTTGTTGTAAACTTCGGTTGCAAGTTTGTAATTTCCAGCTAATAAGAAACATTCCCCAGCTCTTCGAAGCTCAGACGTACCACATTTTTCCAAATAAATCCTTCCTGCACCACGAAATTAAATCAAAAAAATCAATCTACTACTACTTTTTGTTTATAAGTTGTCCTGTTTCAATGCTACAAGCAATAACTGTGCAAAATTAGCATTTTTGGTTCCTATTTCACTCGAACATTGAATTGTACCCTAATGATGTAGCTAAAAGTATAGAGTTCTAACGGTCTAAAGAACTATTAGTTTCAGGAAGTGGTGGAAACAACATAGAGCTAAGGGGTAACCCAATTTTTACATCACTGCCGGTCAGCCGCCGATCTCCGGTATTGACTTTTTTTTTCTTTGTTTTCCGTCATCACCGATCGGCAATCAAAGCTGGTCTCCAGCGGCGTTGACTTTTTTTTTTAAACTTTATTTTTGTTAACATTTTTTGACATGTTTAAACAGTAATATTACGGAGATTGACAAACCACAGTAATATTAATTATATTATTGTGTAACACAATAATATTGTTATATTACTCTCAAGCACAGTAGTATTAAAACAACAAAAATCACTATTATTGTGTAATACAGTAATATGAATATGTTGACCGTTCAACCAAGGCAAATATAATAAAAAGTCAAAAGAATTAATATTGATGTGGTTGACTGTAATAGTAATATTATTATGTTAACAGGTCAATAAAACAAACAAAATAAAAAAGCAAAAAAAAATTAATAATATTGATGTGATTGACAGTAATATTATTGTAAAACAATAATTATACTGTCAAGACTGTACAATTACTCTCAACGTTCAACAATGGGCATAAAAAAAAGCGGATAGAAATTTTTGAAAAAAAAAGTCAACGCACGGAAACTGGAGACGTAAATGAATAAAAATCATAAAAAGTCAACGTCAGAAATCGACGACGAAAAAATTCGCCGGAAAACGGCGGCAAAAGAAAAAGTCAAAATTGGATTTTGTGGTCAAAATTGATGAAATTGAAGTTAAATTGGGGTTACAATTAAGAATTGAGTTTAAAGGGTTGGGGTAATTTTGTCATATACATTAAATTTTACTTTAGCCCCTAAACCTATAATAAAAATTAAAAACCCCTTCAATTTTTCAAAGGTACATTTGGTAATCCAATTGCAAGAATTATTCAATGAGTGTACCTGCTCTTTCGTACTCCCCTAAGTCGCAAAAACATTCTGCTGCAGTATCAGCTCGATCAATAGAATCAAATATTTCGGCAGCCTCTCTAAGCATTACACGTGCCTCTTTCGGGTTTGAACCACGCATAGAGTCTGCCGACGCTCTAAGGCCAGAAGCCTTAGCCCTTTTCTCCCATATTTCTTCTCCTGCTTTTTCGAAGCACACTGTTGCCATCTCATAATTTTTCTCCCAAAAGAGCTGCAAAAATAAAAATACAATTAGAATAAATAATGCAAAAAAATATAATTAAAATAAAAAAAAAAACCCGGGAAAATACAATTCAAAAAACCTTGACTCCTTGTGATTTCCACTCCTCGGGGGCTGCTAGCTCTTTGCATTGCTAAGGCAAGAGAATCGTCTATTTTACGCACTTGGACAAGGCACAACCTTCTCCAATAGTTGAGTATTGGCTTCGACAACTCTTCATCGTTTTCACATATCCACAATCTTTGCCTCGTTCGAGTGATCGCCACGTATAGTTGCTTCAGTTCAGAGCACAAGATATTGTGCCTTGACTCGCTAAAACTTGGAAACGACTTTGGAGTAGTGGCATCAAGTAGATCCTTTTGTTTCAAGAATTCGTACAAAACCCTCCATTGATCACTCATTGGTGATGAACCAAAAAAATTGTACAACAAAACATCCTACAAGAATAATTCTTACATTAATGTAGAAACATAATTATAAAAATTGTTACTTTTATTCCGTGTAAATATTATATACGTTTGTGTCAGAGTTTTTCTTTAGTACTGTTACGGTTACTTACGCTAGGTGTTGGGACAGTTCGTAAAAAAAACACAAATTTAATGTGGTTCAGATACAATTACAAAAATAAAAAATAAAACTGAACTTTACATGAAAGAAACATTATTTAATATCTAACCTGAAACTCGAGCCCCTTGCACTCAACTATAGTCAGAACAAGAGCTTTTTTGCCAATGTAGTTGAAAATTTCGTTTCTTGCAGAATCGTCCCGTACTAAAATTACTTGGTCAGCACCAAACCCGACCCATTTTCCACCATCATGTCCACTATGTCCAAATATACTCTTAATCAAATTCTCGTCACTACCCGGTTCGAGTACAACAGGTGACTCACCGTATATAAGACTAGTCTCTGGAGCCAATGCATCAATTGATTGTGGGAAAAAATGGCAAATAAGATCTATGACACTTTGTGCCAACCTAAGTACACCAGTATGAGTACGGAAATTCTGCGACAAACAAAACGTATCCGATATAACCCCTTTCTCTCTCTTCCCAGAAGCTGAAGGCTCACAAATTCTAGACGATTTCATAAAGAACTCATTATAGAACAATGATCTAATGTCTTCAAACCGAAAGTCAATCCCTCGTGCAATCGTCTGTGCTGTATCACCGCAAAATACAAATCCTTCATCCACATTTTTGCAAATAAATCGAAAAAGGGAAATTTGCCTCATGGTGAGGTCCTGCACTTCATCGATGTACACGAAATCCATTTTATCACCCATTAAATCCTCCTCATTCTTGAGGCGGAGATGAATATCAATCACAAAATCAGCAAGATCAAATTCACCACGCTCCATTTTCATTTTCTCGTAGTTCTCGAAAACATCATAAATCGCATCCCTTTTCTCCGCACTTAAAGTGGAAACCCTACTTTTAGATAATGAAACATAGGCCTCTCTGCTTCGTTTGGTTTCGCCCGATTCCCCTTCTTTTAGACCTCCTTTTATATGCGACATTATTTCGGTGAAAACTCTTGAAGGATCAAGAATTTTTGTATACTTAGCATTGAAGTGGGGCCAGTATAAGGACCGAAAACGGTCATAAGTAACCTCGTTTCTCCTTATGAAAGTCTGCAGTGCAATAGATCTTCCTTCGTACTGTGAGGAGCCTCTTGCTTCACGAAATTTTTCAAAGTAAGAATTACCCAAAGTGCCATCGAGCATCATTAGAAACTTGTGAAATGTGATAATCAGAGGATATTTTTCCGGTTCGATGCCAACAAATGTGTCGGGGATATCTCTGAATTCAGCCATTTCATCTAAATCGTCCATATCTGCCAAGTTGTTATTTTTGGAGGTATTCTCACTAGCAAAGCTGTACATATTGTTAAGTAAAGGTCAGTAGTGCATTTCTGGAATATGAACCACATTTAATAAACAATTTAATAGACATTCCAAAACAAAAAACAAAAGAAATCAAAATATTCAATAAATCTATGAGTAACCCTTTCACAATACCATAACCGTTATTCGTTAGAGATGTTTGTTAACCAGGAAAGAAACACAAATGAGACGCATCAGCTAAAAAGGTAATAGGTATACTTAATTAAACTCTAGTATGTTCTCAACCAAGTACAGTAGAACCTCGATAAATTAATAACATCGCATAAATAATAAATTCTTCTGGTCCCAACTCGGTGAGAATGTGCTAAATTATTAACTCGATAATTTAATATTTCACTAAATTAATAGAATTTCCCTAGTCCCGACTGTATTAATTTATAGAGGTTTACCTGCATATAACATCAAGTTCTAAACATATAATATACTCTCATGTTATCAAGCTTCCATTTATTTCACGTTTATTTATATTCGCCAACTATTTCCTGTTATTTTGCCAATATTAGAAAGAGAGAAAAACATAACACGATGACAAGTTCGCCAGCTGTCATAGAATCCCGTGTGGCAATGGAGTACTGATGAAGCTTCTGGTACAACTTCATAGTCAAAATAGTCGTCTTCCCAATACCAGATCGACCTAATATAAAGCTGCTCCTTGGAAACATTATTATTGCACGCTCTTCATCGGTAACCTCAAACGGGAGATTCACTTCTCTGCCTTCCACATCGGTAAGCAAATGATTCACAACATCACTCGCAACGAGTAAAATTTCATCAGCAGTAAGCTCTCGTTTACTTTGGCATTTTCAACATGACTTCTGCAGTCAACACTCGCACCACTATTGACTTTGTTGTCATTATTGTGATTCTTGAACCGGATTATATCGTCGGAAACCGACCAACTCTTTGGCACCTCCAAATTTCTGAAAAAAAAATAATAAAAACCGAATTAATTGAGACCAATCACGATTTTTGAATTGGAATTAGAGGAAATCGTAAATTAATTTGCATACCCCTCGCACAACTTCTCATTGCAGCGGTCGATAAAATCATCCGTATACATAGCAAAAATGCTGTCGAGTCTTTTCAAGAGTTTTGCAGTCTCCTTCATGGGCAATATATCCCACACTTTGAAAATTTGTACGTAAACAGGGTCCTTAACTAAATCGATTGAGCACACAACATAGTATTTTGAAACCTTGATTTGCTTCACAATATACGAAGAGCTCTCGCATTTCCAGTCCACGTTTATATTCTTGGGCCGCCAGCCACTTGCAAGCTTAAGTAAAACATTTATCGCGAGATTCTTAACATTGGAAGGATACAATTTCTGAAATGACTTTCGGAAGTTTTCACTGAATACAACCTGAAAAATTTCCATTTCAGAAATTGAAGAATCGACAGATAAAATTTGAGTATAACATAAAGAAACGAGTTGTACCAACAAACTCGTGAAATTTAAATTTTAGCCGTCCTTTAATGATGACCTAACAAACTCGTGGAAATTAATTTATATGGACACTTCAAAATTATAAATGCTCCTCTAATTTGATTTATAGATGAGTCGTCTCACATAATTAAAGTTCTACAAATGGTAAGTTAGATATCGAATTTATAAATTTGCAAGCGTCCATATAAGTAAAATGCGTCAAGTTTATTTGTCGCGTCATAAAAATAAAAATCATGCAAAATAGGACTAAAAATACTATATTTGCAAAGCTATTGCATGTAAAACCGAAACATGACAAGTTAGAGGACTAAATTCCTAATTAGGCAAACATAGAGGACCAAAACTACAATTTTCCCTAATCAAATACGTACCTTGCTGATAACTGTGGCGGGTAATTGGCATTCGTCTCCAACAAGAACCGCATGCCTCATACCCGGGATCTGAAGTGCGATGATCGATTCGCACTCCTTCACTTGAGCAGCTTCATCGATCACCAAAAGATTAAACGGTTTCGTATCGACCTTGTGCAGCTTATATGCAGACGAAGTGGTGCAGAATATCAAAGTAGCATTCCGGAAACACAACTCCGTGGTGGCAGCCGCGTTAATGCCATCTGGCAGGTCTAGTTCAACTAACGAATCATGAACACGAGATAATACAACACTATCCTTTTGTCGAAAGATCCTCTCGAGTTCTTCGGATGTTAAGCTATTGTCTTCAAACAACATCTCAATATAATCGAGAAGAGACATAAGTTTCGTTATGTTCCGAAAGATGTGCTTCTCGTGAGCGAGGTTTCTTTGTAAATGAGTGAAGAATGTAACCATGCAGTTTCTCAGCGGTGCTGCTAAATGCGCGAATCGATCTCTGGCAAACTCCAAAAGTGATTTCGAGTACTCCAAGTTATTATTATTCGCTTCATCATTATCATCATCGTCGAGAATTTCATTTGCTTTGATTAGCTCGTTCTCCACAAAGATTTGATGTTGAGAAACATAATCTTCGAGAAAATCGAGCATGGACGAGATACAATGCTCCCAACCAGTTAGCGATCCCAAGCAACTTGAAAGCATCTTAACACGACGATCTAAAAAGATTTCGTCGATCTCTGAGCTAACTTTCAAACGATCCTTATTGCCAAATATGAGCATGTCTCCTAAAGGACAAGACAAACAGCTCTCGTCGGCGGATTCTCTTAAAACCGAACTTCTTACTAGAGAAACGACCCGAGAGGCAAGTTCTTTAATTGCAACGTTTGTCGGTGCGCAAACGAGGGTCCTCACGTTCATTTTCAAGAGGGTATAGAGAAATATGCTCAACGTTGCGGTCTTTCCAGTCCCGGGTGGACCCCATATGAGTTCAACCGATGACTTGTGGTCACACTTTGATTTGGATAGACATGCCGAAATCGCGTCGAGTTGTGATTCGTTCAACTTGGAGAATAAAGCCGACCCGAGTTTCTCCTTCATCTCATTGTTGTTTTTGTGACAACAAACTTCACAAATCCCCTCATCCTGTACTAAGGTATGATTAGAACCGAAAGACGGAAGCCAAGACGACAGTGAATACAAGCGCGATAATAAAGTAGTTGGGCTCTTCACCAAGTGGTTCTTGGCTAATAATTTCTGAATGATTGTCAGGTTCTGACGCATGCGCAACGCGTTCCATATTCTCTTATGCGGTGTAACGTTGATCAAGAAAACCACGTAGAGGGACTTGCCGAATTCAATGTTTTGAGTTGCTTTCAGAGTAAAACCGGAGGGTTTGCAACTACTGTCGCTCTCGTCATCAGCTTCGATATTTGTTACGGATACAAATGTATATGCGGATCCAACGCGTAGTAGGTCGGAAACAGTTTCGGGTTTCGAATCCGAAAGAAGAACAATATCACCGGGCAAGGTTTTGTAAGGCTCCCCACCATTATCACTGGCAACATTTCTCCATTGATCAACCCTAACATTGTACACCGAGTTCCCGTGTGTTCGTTCGGTAAAAGATGCCACCTCAGCAGAAGATGTAAATTAGATCCAATATATATAATATAGGTTATAAAAAATGATTATCTAAAATATATTGATGAAAAAATGCTAATAGCTAGGTTGACTAATATATGTGAGAAGTTTGCTCTTAAGAAGATCGTGAACTTGGTGAGGAGACAAGAGGATGTACGTCAACTCAGGGTCGTTACTGAGAAATTGGTGGCCCTATGCGAATTTTAAGATTTTGTATGAGTCCTATTTGTATTATATAATTTACACATTAATTCATTCTAACGAGCATTTCTGGACAGTAAATTAATAGATTAGAATTAAGATTTTTGGAGAAAATATGACTAATATATTGACGAGGTTAAGGTAAATAAAAAGTTTATGGAGTTCCGGGCAGAGCTTTTAAGTGTTTCTGAAAATACTAAATAGTCATATAAATATTATTGAAGAAGTTACAAATCACTACAAGAAAAAGTTGCATTATTGAAAAAGTTGTCACTTAATGTGTGCATTAAGTGACAACATCTTTTTTATTGTCACTAATAGCTCTTTTTGTTGTCACTTAATCTTTATTTATTGTCACTATAGAGCATTAACAACACCCCGTTAGTGACAAGCGTAGTGACAACACTTTTTGCCTAACTATGTGAAAAATAGGTGTTGTCCATCAAAAGATTTTTTTTTAGTGAATATATGTAACATTTGTTTAAATATAGTAAAACTAAAATATAGTATTTTTCAACTTGTGGAGACTCTTCGAAGTTAGCGATAGAAAATGTGAGTTATTAAAAAAATTGCAAAGATTGCTGGAAAATAAAAAAATTAAATCTTGAAATAGATAAAAAATTGATAAAAGAATTCAAAAATAAATGTAAAAATTTCCAATAAATACTTAAACTATGTAAAGTAATATAGTTACGGTTATTCAAAATTTTAAACTATTTATATAATATTAAATATCATTTAATGCTAGCCTATATAAATGATACAAAATATTATTTGGGACCCCTACTTTTTTTCTAAAAATCGAGGGGCCGAGGCGACCACCTCTCTCGCCTATAGTCAGAACCGGCCATCGGTCAACTTTTGACATCTTTTCTTATTCATTTTTCTTAAAAAAATTTAGTCGGTCATAGTGTTGATATTACGTAGATTTTAGATTAAAGCAATGAATATACAAATAATTAGCTATAATCCTATAAACAAAATAATGTGAAATACCTTTAGAAATAAAAACAATATTATTAATTTCAACTTTTGACCATAAGCAATTCTATCCAAAAGTCTACCAATTGTGATTACTTTGATGATAAAACCAAAAGGAGCCAAACATTAATGATTATGAGAGAAACCATATTAAAGGACCATTTGCAATAAACTATAATATTAAATAACCCAATCAAACAACTTTCATCATAAAAAATCATCAACTATTCAATTTGATTCAAACAGCCAACCAATATACATATTATTCAATTTAGATTTTCAACAAGACATTAATTATATTATTTTCAATTTACCATTTATCACTCCTAATTAATTATTTGGAAAACAATTAATGTTAAAGATATTTCAATAATTTTTTATATTGTTTTTACTGTAGACTACACACATTTATTAATTTTCTTAATATAGACGGAGGGAGTAACTTACTAAGAATTTTGATTTTTATTCCAAACAAAAAATCACAATACGGCGTCGTTTTAAAAAAAAATGCCGTAAATGCAATTTAATCCCGATCTATATTTAGTGACATATATATGGACACAACAACAGTTTATACTATGCTTCACCGGCGGATGAAATACACCAACTAAATCTTTATCATTCATATGCACATAAATATGCACATAAAGACATATACATACACATTAGTGTGTGTAGATCAACGGTAAATAAAGACCTGGTATAACCTTTACCATCAACAGGTGCACCATAGAAATAACTGATTATGCAAAAAAAAAACATATATATATATATATATATATATATATATATATATATATATATATATATATATATATAGGGCAAATTACCAAAACCCCCCTGAGGTAAGCCTAAATAACGAAAATCCCCCCCATGTTCTCGTAATTACGAAAATCCCCCTTGACTAACGGTTGACCGAATTTTTTTAACCGAAAACGTGAAATGTCTATTATATCCTTCTGTTAAATATGTAAAAAGTAAAGGGAAAATTACCAAAACCCCCCTGAGGTAAGCCTAAATAACGAAAATCCCCCCTGACATCCCTTTCAGTTGATGATTTATTGCTTTTATAAATTTATTTATTACTTTGTAATTTGTATTGATAATTTGATATTATATTTTTTTTTATTTTTTTTATTTATATATTTTAATTGATTTTATTTATCCAGAGGAGTATTCATACGGATTTATGCTTTTAGCTTGAATGATGCATGGTTGTATTTCTCGAATTGCAAAATATTTAATTTTATATATAAAAAATAATTAAATTTTGAAATCTCAATCATTGATTTTTTTAATCCAATAAAAATACATTGTACATTCATAATGATTGATTATATGTGGGTTTAATTTAAGAAAAATAAGTATTTTGCAGACACTTATATATTTTTTTATTTATATATTTTAATTGATTTTATTTATCCAGAGGAGTATTCATACGGATTTATGCTTTTAGCGTGAATGATGCATGGTTGTATTTCTCGAATTTTAAAATATTTAATTTTATATATAAAAAATAATTAAATTTTGAAATCTCATTCATTGATTTTTTTTAATCCAATAAAAATACATTGTACATTCATAATGATTGATTATATTTGGGTTTAATTTAAGAAAAATAAGTATTTTGTACATTCATAATGACCCCTCATTAAATAAAATGCTTACAATTACCCCCCTAAGGGTAATTTCGTGTACAAGGGCAAAATTGGTATTATCGAAGGAATATTCGGGAGAATCAAAAAGATTCTATCGAGTCTAACACCGTTAGAGCGATTTGTAAGACGTCTGCATACCTCAGGGGGGTTTTCGTAATTACGAGAACATGGGGGGGATTTTCGTTATTTAGGCTTACCTCAGGGGGGTTTTGGTAATTTGCCCTATATATATATATATATGGGTTAATAAGATATAACCCCCTCATTAGAAAAAATATTAGGACTAACCACCTTACAATATTTTCAATGGGTCAAACCCCCTCAGAAATGTCAATTACTAAACTACCCCTATAATTTGTAATAGCAAAGACCCCCCTCCCGTTTTTCCCAAATACTGCATATCTTCAACCATCTTCTTCAATATAATTTCCCCCCAATTTCCGTTCGTCTGCTACATTTATGCCGAGAAATTCGCCGAAAAACAAACTGCAATATATATACCGCATATTTTCCCCTTTCAAACATTGCCCTAGTTTGCTACATCTTCAGCGGAAAAAAAAACCCAGACTACCATTTTATTGTGCAATTCGTTCAGCAACACAGGTTGTCAAACAATGGTGAAGAACGGGAAGAAGAAGACAGGTAGTTTGCTATATATCCATCTCTATCACCGACTTTTTATTGACCTAATTTTGTGAATTTACCCCACAATTCCTCTTCCTGACACCATTATCAGCAACTCCGGAGGGCAAATCGAAGACTTCTACAGAAACCGTATGCCAAGGTAAGTCTGGAATCGACAATCAATTTCACTTCGATTTGTTGTAAATTTCATAGCAATTTTGCTTAATTTTGCTATGTTTCATACATGGGCCACTGAAATTTTTATTGATTACAGTGAAACCAAAATCAAAGAAACGAAGGGGAGAGAAGAACACGAATAGAGGTATTAACAAATCGTCCATACTGGTAGTTGACTTGATTTAAATATTTGTACAAAAAAAGTAATCTATGTTTTATTTCTTTTTCCAGGAACGCCACATAGCAAAATGAAAGTTGACTTACTGCATCTAAACGCTGATAATAATTTATGCACATTGGTTTCCAATTGAACTATGATTTTTGGGCATTGTAGTTGACTGCATAATTATGAATCTAAAAACATTGTGGGTGGCGTTGTAGTTGAACTGTGAAGTTGATTACATTTCTATGTATGCATTGTACAAAAACTATAGTATTTATGAGCACTGAACTATAGTTTGTATGAGTACACCATTTCTATGACAATTGTTTAATAGTTTACTACTGCAGAAACTCAGGGTCAACTCATTAAGTCAATTTGATATGTAGTCCACTTATATTCTTTGTATGTTAGTCCACTATGATACATGATTAACTGTCAACTGCTTCGTAAACTTATAGTCAACTTGCATTGTAAACTTAGTTCAATATATATAGTTCACTACATTTTGATGTGTTGTAAGTTGTGTCCACAACTTAAATTACTACACACAGTTTACATTATAGTTTACTGTATTCACTGAAATTTGGCAGTCTGCAAAAAACATGGTTTTATATAGTTCACTGCATTACAGTTTACTCCAATATCTGAAATTTGAGTGTGTGTTAAAACATGGATTTTATTTGCATTGTTCACTACATTCTGTTTTGTAGTATTGTTGTTCATTTGAATTTACAGTTTCTAAAAAAATGGCACTGAGTGTACTACCAAACCTGTACTGTGAAAATTGCTTGGAAGGCTAACTGGCAAACAAAATCATAGTAAACTGCTTAAGTTAGACAACTACTCAACTTTTAACAGTTCACTACATTACAGTTCAATGCATTACAGTTCACTGCATTAGACTTGACTGCATTAGAGTTTACTACATTACAGTTCACTGCATTACAGTTCACTGCATTAAACTGCTTAAGTTAGACAACTACTCAACTTTTAACAGTTCACTACATTACAGTTCACTACATTACAGTTCACTACATTACAGTTCACTGCATTTCAGTTCACTGCATTACAGTTCACTGCACTAGAGTTGACTGCATTAGAGTTTACTACATTACAGTTCACTGCATTACAGTTTACTCCAATATCTGAAATTTGACAGTGTGTTAAAACATGGATTTTATTTGTACTGTTCACTACATTCTG